ATTTGTTAACTTTTAACAAATATTTATTTAAAATGAAAAGCAAAAATAACAATTTTCTTTTGACACTTTTTATAACCCTACAGCTAATACATGATAATAATTCAATTCACTAAATAAATTAACGTTCTTAATATTTAAAAATATAAAAGATATTTGAGCTGTGATAAAATTTGTTATGTTACAGCAAACGTTATTATAAAATAATGTAATTAATATCAATAATTTGTAAAGATAATTTTTGCTTATAAGCAATCTTCATAATATAAGTATGACATATTGCAAGCAGTCGCCTCTCGGATACTCTACTATAGTATTTGACCGATTTTAGTCAGATTATGCGGTGAAAAATTTTCATGAATTATTTTCGATGTTCTAATAATTAAATAAAATCTGGAATACCTATTCATTGTAATGATTATAAGTTTAACAATAGTTAAAAATAAATTTCAGGGTCATAAAAAATGCAGTTAATAATAATTTTCGGACTTTTTTATCAAAGCGGTCAATTACTGGTGCCCGGTCAACTACTGGAACATTTACCCTATTTATTCAAAATTTTTTAAAAAATAATTTTTTTTTCTAATAAAAAAATATGATTGAACCAAAGAAAAAAATCCTAAATATAATTTCTATGCATAAAATTATTTTGCACTAAAACTTAGCAATAAATAATAAAAAACAACAAATTCAAAGTTGTAAAAACAAAGTTCAGCCAAGTACAGTAAAATTCCCGCATTGTGACCCCAACTAAAAGAACCGTGACGACAATCGATTATTTGACCGTAACCTCTAGCCGCTTTCTAAAAATTGATTTCCAAAAATCTGTCCTTCCTCGCAGGTACAATTAATTCAACCTTCCTGTCTATACCAATAGACCAATCGTCAGGTCTATCCAACAATATAAGCATGCGTCGCACCTGCTGATAAAGGTCTCTCGGTAAAACTTTCAAGACATTGTTCTTGAATTTATTTCTTGGACACGTTGCATTTCTTCACTCGACTGCCCAATTACTATTACTATTACTATTACTATTACTATTACTATTACTACTATACTTGCTCTAGTGCAGCTGTTTACTTGGTTTTATACCGATGGTCAAGGACGTGGTCAATAAATAAACCCAAGTCATAACTTAGTCATCGCAAGTCACAGCCGAACTGAAAAGTATCTAAATAATTAATAAAAATTTTCATGGGTAAAATTACGACAATTATAACTGAGAGTTAATTATTAACACTCAACAGATGATTAATGAATTAATTAACAAAGTTAACCGCGAATCTAATGACCTATCGACTTATTTCAATAATTCAACCCATTTTGTTCGATCGACCTCCACTTTTAGCTATATATTCTTCTTATATACACTGTAAACATTTAATGTTTTATATGTTTATATGATATAATATCATGATGATAAATAGTTTATGCTTTAATGACTGTACTTTCAATTTTCTCCCTCTATATGTGATATATTTGTGTGTATATGTGTGTGTGTTGTGCTGCTCATATCACCTTTTTACTTTTTTAAGGCCACGTAAAAAGCTATCTAATTTTCCAACCAATACAACCTTCAGTACTAGTTATATTACTGGTATTATTATTAATATGTAATTTATAAAACTTTTTTGTATTAAATTAAAAATTAATTAAAAATAAACTTCAAATTTACTACAAATAATTTTTTTTTCAAATTTTTCTGTTTAATACACTGATAGAAGGATTTGCTTATATTTAATAAGATTTTTTAATATCATAAGATTTAATAAATATTTATTAAAACAGTTAATGAATTATTTATTAAATTTATTGAATGTTAAAAATATTTATTAAAATTTAATAATTGTCTTTAAATAAATTAAATTATTATCAATAAATAAATTCTTCTATCAGGGTAATTGTTGACTTTGATATAGAAAATTTTTTTTTAAATTATTTATGAAGATTTTTTATCAAAAATAAAATTTTTTAAATAAAAAAATTTTATTTTTGTTGAAGAAATTTTAATTTCAAATTTTTTGCCAAAAAATTTCCTAAAGATAAAAATAATAATTATTATTATTATCATAATGTAGAAAAACAAGATATCTTCATAATTAATTACATGGACATCAGACATGACATATGTCGAGTAGATTAGTGAAAGTTACGGTAAATATGTACTAAGAAAGTCAGAAAGACTTAATTACATTTATTATTTAGATGGGTTGAATTGCTTCATTCAAATAGTCTTTCTATTGTAACTGTTTTCATTCTTAGGAAAACTTAAGCTGTGTTTAGATTTTTGTAATGAAGAAAATTGTCGCGGTGGAATATTCTAGATTTTTTGTGAAGATTATTACTAAAATTAAAATTTTGTCACCATTTTTAACTAAAAAAAATTTTTTTAAGCGCATATCTATTTCATAATTAAAAAAAAATGATTTAAAAAATTAATTTGTGAGTAAAAAAATTAAAAAAAAGTAATAAAAAATTTTACATTAATTTTTAAAACTATAAAAATTAATAAATTTTAATGTTAAATTATTAATCAACTAATTTTTTTTTAATTATATACTTATGCAAAACATAAAAATATTTAAAATTTATTTAATTATTTTTAATTCGTTAGTCAAAATTTATAAATTATTGAAGAATTCATGAAAAATATTGTTATTATAAAAAAATTTGTTTAGTTTTTTATGCTCTTAAAAAATAAATATAAAACTTAATGAAAATAAATTTAGCAGATATTAAATAATTTTTAGAATTTTTTTTAACAAATAAATTATGGCAAAAAAAAAACAAATTGGCATGTAGAAATTAAAAAAAATAAAAAGTGCAATTATTTTAAAAATTATTTTTTGGAACAAATTTGTTTGTTAAAAAAAAATTAAAAAATTCTATAATGACTGCTAACTTTACTGTCATAAAACTTAGCATCGTACTTAAAAAATTTTTTATGAATTTTTTAGACTTAAAAATTGAAAAATATAAACCAAAAACTTTTTTTATAATTTTTCAAAATTCTTCAATTAAAAAATTCAAAAATTAGAACTTTAATTTTCTACATTCAGATAATTTATATAAAAATATTTTCAAAAACTTGACAGTTTTTACCATTGATAATTTAATCAGCAGCCTTCGTCAAAAAAAATATTTTATTGAAGTAAAAACTATATTTAAATTAAATATTTACTTACTTAGTTTTTTATCATTATTACTGCATCACAAAATAAAATTTCAAAAAAATATTTTGTCTATAAATTTCCGAATTACAAGAGATAATTTTCAGAGCAACAACAAAAAAAAAAGCCGGTAAATTTTTTTCTCTAATAAAAATTCCGAGTAAGCAATTAAAATTACAATAAACAAAGCGGCGGTAATTAAAATTATAAATATCAGTATGAACATGCTGATAAGACGTACGCGATAATCGATTGCTCGAGTGACCTGAAAATAAGTGTAAAATGTTCGGTAAGAAAAAAAAAAGCATAACATACCTCTGGCAATAAATCCTCGGAATTAATAACCACTCACATAAATAAAAACTTAATAAAATAATTCACAACATAACCCGCGTATAAAAATTTATGCGCCATATTGTTTACTTGCCAAATGCCAACTGGTGTCCGCTAGTGTCAGTACACTACCGCCACTCTTGACCAACTGACGACTTAAATAATTCCAGTTACCGCCTAGGGTATGTTCCGACATGCACTGCGACCACTGTACAGTGTGACGTCAATTTAGTATACTGTGAAGCCGTTCCTTTATAGCCAGTTATACTGGTCACTATTTAAAACGGAACGCAATCCCGTATACTGTCAGCTGCATTTTTTTTTTGACGCAGCATTCAAATGAGCGTATTAAAGTTTACTAGTTCATTAAAAAAAAAACTGTTGTTGGAGTACTGTCAAATTAAAAATATTTTAATTAATATTAGTTGTAAATTAAATTTATAATAAAATAAAAGTAAGTAGTTTTTCGTTTAAAAAGAATATGTTCTTCATTACTTAACTTTTTTTTTTTAAATAATTATTGATTACTATAAACGAAAAAAAATTACAGGTAATGGAGTATGCAGCAATTGGAATAGTATTTGTTGGTGTAGTTCGAAATTTATTAAGATCTTCAAACGAAAATGATTCTAGCGATGATGAAGATCTCATTTATAGTTTTGGAAATCGTGCAGAACAAGGTTTTATTCCAAGAACCCAGAATTATGTCGAAAATACGGTTTGTCGAATGACTGATGAAACTTTTAAAAGTATCATTTTCAGTAAGACATGTATTTTTACCCAATTAACTAGTGATAATTATTTCTTATAACTTAATTACTTGAATCATTGTTAATTTCGAATATTGCATCTTTATTTGTAAATCAATTATAGTATGAGGCACGATACTTTTAAATTTCTTATAAATTTACTCGAACCCGACTTATACAAAAACAATCTGTCCACTTCGGCAGACATTCTATTCCTGTCGAAAAACAGCTTCTTCTGAGTATTTGGATCATGGCAACGCCAGATTCTTACAAGTACATTCTAGCCGTAAGATGGACGGTGTGGCTTAATGTATATAGAATAAGTGAAAGGAAATTTAGTATAGACCGTATAGCTCAAATGGTAGAGTAGCCGACATGTCTTCGGAAGGTTCTGGGTTCGAATCCCAGTCCGAGCTATCTAATAATTTTTTCTCACATATTCTATAAACTCACATTAAGATGATCCTCTCCACAATCCTTTCTCAATCCTTTCCTACCAATTATCCTGTTACGTGAATGTTGGAACGCTTCACGTAATAATTATCCGTAACTCCTATTCTTTCCCGCTTCACAGCATTATTTATATTTGTTATTATTCACAGCATTATTCATGTTCCTTCAATCTTATTCTAAACATCGTCAAGAAGTTCAAAATTGATGTTCTATAGAATAGCTTACTATTTTATTAATTTTACAGATCAGTGTGTCATCATTTCGATGTCGGAAAATCATTAGCTTGGAGAATTAAAAATGGCCTACTCGTGAAGAAGCGAGGATAACATAGAATCATATATATATCGAAAGTACGGATTTCCGAATTTATTGGGAGCGATCGATGGAACACACATTAGAAATGCTCAGCCCAAAGAACACCATGCCAGCTATATTAACCGCAAAGGATTTCATTCTATTAAAACTCAGGTTTTTAAAACAATCAAATTTATATTGATGAGCTATATATTTACCTAACTCGTTGAAATAAACTTAATTTTATAATTTCAGCTAGTATGTGATCAAAAATTAAAAATAATTCATGCGTACTGTCGTCAAACAGGCTCAGCCCATGACGCTCGTATTTTCTGACACTGTCAAATTTACAAAATTATTGCACACCTCAATTTTTTCCTGACGATACCTATTTGTTAGGAGGCAAGTCTTACAATATTCAACCTTGTAGAATGGTACCTTATTAAAATAATGGTAACTTCCCTGAATAACAAAACGTATTGAGACAAAGAAAAAAGTATTGAAAAGTATTAGATTGACTAGAAAACCAATACTTTTCAATACTTTTTTTTTTATCAGGGTTCAATCAAGATTCGTTGCGATACAAGACAATAGATTCAAGTGCTCACATGATGAGCAAATGTGCGTTAACGCATCATTAAAAGGAAGATTTCGTAGTTTGTTGAATAAACTGCCATTCAAAAGAATGGACTTAATACCATATTACGTAATTGCTTGTTGTATTTTGCACAACATTTGCATTATGAGAGATGATTTGATCGACATCCCAATAATTGAGAATCATGAAATTCCAGTAATGGAAGTAGATATTGAAATGAATAATGACATGAAAATTGCTGAATAGGAGAATAGAGAAAGGTTGAAAAATTTTATAAATAATAATGTATAAATTTTAAACTTTACTCATACATGCATACTAATCAACTGAAAATTAAATTTTTCACATTAATGTAAAAAAGTAGATTATTAAATCGACTTATATCTAAAAAAAAAAAATTGGAAATTGGAAATTGGAAATTGCTGATAAAACATGGCGCTGATATAAATGCTGGAGACGACAATGGTTTGACTCCTCTGATGAAAGCAGCTATTGGAAACGATAACTTAGCAAGTCGCAGGTTTTTGCTGAGTCAACCTGTTATAGAAATAAATTCCCTGACTAATGACAAGAGATCTTGTCTTCATTTTCCAGAGCCTTGGTACATTGACTATCAGATTCTTGATCCTGAGTCTAGTCTTTATGATCTTCTGGATGCAGGTTGTGATATCAATATTGTGAGCGATGATGGCAAATTACCGATTGATAGCTATGAAGACAAAGAAATGTGCTTTGAAGTCATGAAGAATACTAACGGAATAATGGCTGGATTTTCCTTGTTTGATATACTGCACAGATCTTATCACAAACTGGCGCTGAGGATCGAGGATGGAGATGAAGATAAGTTTGACGACAAAATGGCGGCCAAGTTTCCTCTGTACGCAGGAATGATTAAGTATCGCTTGGAAAAAGCTGGTCAACGAAGAAAATTGTTCAATCAAGTTGAAGATATTCTCTATAAAGTTTTTTCTAGATATCTTCCTGCTACTTTTATCCATGAAATGTTTTTTTATTTTAGTAACTTTGAATTGAGTAAATTGGTGGAAATTAAGTAAGTGGAAGATAAAAGTTTTATTATTAGTCATTTGATATCATTTATCAGTGGTTTTTTTTTAGTAAATTTATAAACTTTGGGTTGAATTTTTAATATTTATATGCTTGTAATCGTTTTGTATTTTTATTAATTAAATCTAATATTTTTTAATAATTAAATAAATAAGTTGGAGAAGAATCATTGTTTAATTTATTTATTGTTGTAATATTGAATTTTTATAATCCTTAATTCCATTGTTTAATTTTACGATCTGTGAGAAAATAATGCAGTGAATTTACGTGACAATAATTATAATGGTAATAATAATAACAATTAAAAATATGAATACATCTTAAAAAAATCTCACAACTCTCTTGGCCAGTTCCACGCCTAAAATTGCTAAAATTGCCTACATACTCTGCAACTTCCTGATCACATGTGATATCTCAAGATTTAAATTCAAATTTTTACAAACCAGGACATCTACCGGTGAGTGCTGGGAATAACAGACACATAGCTCTGCGACACCATCAACTACAGTGGCTGATTGGAAAAATGTTGAGAGCCTCTAACGAATACTACTATTTACTCTATTTACCACTACTGTAAATGAAAGTTGCAAAAAATCTAAACAGAAACATAACCTATAACATTTAGTTAATTTTTACAATCAACTGATCAGTTTTTGGTGTAAAAATAATTAAAGTGATGAATAATACCAGAAAAAAAATAAAAGACTTGAATATTTTCCGTAACTTGTGCTACGAAGAAGTTCGTGAGAAAATAATGTCAAAAGAGCTATCTGTTAACACAGTGGTAAAAATTTCTGAGAAAGATCGAATTAAAACTCCTCATTTAGAATTCCTGCCGGACACCGCAGAAGATTTCTGCCAATACACTATTCTTCACTTGGCAATTTATGTAGACGACAATAATCTCGTAGACTTTCTCTTGGAGAATAATGCTGACATGAAGCTGGGAACAGAAAATTTGGGACCGGTGATTTTATCAGCGATAGGTTTGAGACGCTTAAAGTACGTGAAAAAATTAGTGACAGCTGGTGCTGATGTCAATCAGATTATCTACGTATATCACACACATGAGGTAAATTATGATAGGTTTAATATTGAAAATAATTCGCCGCGATTTTTTCACTCAGAGTATACGCCTCTGGAATTTGCTGTCCAGCTGAAGGCAAATGAGATTGCTAGATTTCTCATCAGCCAGGGCGCTGATGTTCACGTAAGAATTGGCAATGACGAAGAGAAAAGCGACTCGCCAATGGGTATCGCTGCTTTTACAAATAACGTAAAAATGTTGAAATTGCTGATGAAACATGGCGCTGATATTAATGCTGGAGACGACAATGGTTTGACTCCTCTGATGAAAGCAACTATTGACAACTATACCTTAGAAAGTCGCAGATTTTTGCTAAGTCAACCTTCTATAGAAATAGACTCTCTTACTAATGACAAGCAATCTTGTCTTCATTTTCCAGGGAATTGGTTCATAGACGCTGACGCTGATGAACCTGAGTCTAGTCTTCAAGATCTTCTGGATGCAGGTTGTGATGTCAATATTGTAAGCGATCATGGCGAATTGCCGATTGATAGCTATGGAGAGAAAAAAATGTGCCGTGAGGTTATGAAGAAGCATATTGTTAAGCTGATGGCGGCTGGCTTTTACGTCTGCGGTAGAAATAAGAAAGTTGCTTCAGGAAGTAAATTAAGAAAATTTAGAGTTGAATGTGATACAGAAGTTGAAGCCATGAAGAATACTCATGGAATAATGGCTGGATTTTCCTTGTTTGATATACTTCACAGATCTTATCACAAACTGGCGCTGAGGATCAAAAATAGAGATGAAAATAAGTTTGACGACAAAATGGCGGCCAAGTTTCCTCTGTACGCAGGAATGATTAAATATCGCTTGGAAAAAGCTGGTCAACGAAGAAAATTATTCCATCAAGTTGAAAATACTCTTTATAAAATTTTTTCTAGATATCTTCCTGCTACTTTTATCCATGAAATATTTTTTTATTTTAGTAACTTGGAATTGAGTAAATTAGTGGAAATTGTGTAAGCGGAAGATAAGGTATTTTATTGGTGCTTTAATTTAATTTATCATTGGTTTCTTCCTAGTAAATTTATAAATTTTTAGATGAACTTTTAATTTTTATATGCTTGTAATAATTTTGTATTTTTATTCATTGAATTTGATAACTTTTTAATAATAAAAAAAAATGAGTTAGAGAAGAATCATTTTTTTAAATTATTTATCACTGTTCAATTGAATTTTTATAATTATTAATTTATTTGTTTAATTTTAAAATATTTGTAAAAATACTAAAGCAGAGAATTTATCTGAGAATAATAATATTAATAATAAAAAATATATATATTCTATAGAAATTTAAGATTTTAGGAAAATGTGTATTAGTGTTTTTTTTTTTTTTTTTTTCAGGTAGACCCTCGCGGTTTTAAGAATCCGTAAAAATACCGTAATTTTTCGGCATTTATGCTCATGCATGCCGTATATTTACCGTAATAATGCGGTTAAACTATAGTTGTTTTGACCAATTTTTACACTCTAAATATCCAGTATATATACTGCACTTATGCTGTACAGTTACCAAAAATATACTATACAATTACCGCATTAATGCCCAAATTTTATCCAAAAAATTCCAAATAATACAGTAATTTTGCCGAATATTTTCTGACATAATGGAAAATTATTAAAAATTTGGTTTTATTTTTAGTTCATTTCTATGTTAGAAATTATTAAATTACATAAGTCAGTATGTGTTGTTTTAATTTGTTATGAATATGTTTTTATTGTAGAGCCCTGAAGAAGTCAAAAAATTTTGACGAAACGTTGGCAAGAATACTAAAAAATTTTTTCCACATATGGTGGTCCTTATTTCCCGATATTCATCTTCAATATAATGAAAATGTGTATAAGTGTTTCTTTTCAGGTAGAAATACAAAATTTAAGGGATACTTGCTTTTGTAGTGTCTCCATAGTCATAAGCTTAAAATTGCCTACATTCTCTGCAACTTTCCGATCAAATGTGATCTCAACATTTAAATTTACATTTTAACAAACCGGGACATCTACCGGTGACCACCGGGAGCTACAGATAAACAGCTACTCCACCACCAAGTATTTTGGCCAAATGGGATACTACTACTACTACTGCGACTACTGTAAATGAAAGTTGTAAAAAATCAAAACTAAAACGTAACCTATAATATTTAGTTAATTTTAACAATCAACTGATCGGTTTTTCTTCTAAAAATAATTAAGATAATGGATAATACTAGAAAAGTAATAAAAGACTTCAAAATCCTCCGTGACTTGAGCTACGAACAAGTTCGTGACAAAATAATGTCAAGGGAGTTATCTGTTAACACGGTGGTAAAAGTTTTTGAGAAAGATCGAATGAAAGTTCCGCATTTAAAATTATTACCACTGACCGGACCCGAAAAAAATTTTTTCGAATATACTATTCTTCACTTGGCTCTTCATGTAGACGACGATAATTTCGTAGACTTCCTCCTGGAGAACAATGCCGACACGAAGCTGAAGACAAAACATTTGGCACCGGTAATTTTATGGGCGATAAGTTTAAACCGTTTGAAGTACGTGAAGAAATTAGTGACAGCTGGAGCTATTGTCAATCAGGTTATCAGTGTAGAAGACACATATGAGAGTTATTGTGATAGGCTTAATAATGAAGATCATTATAATGATCATCTGCCTCATGATGAGTACACACCTCTGGAATTTGCTGTCAATCTAAATGCATATGAGATTGCTGAATTTCTCATCAGCCAGGGCGCTGATGTTCACGGGAGAGATTTCAATGGTGAAGACTCGCCGATGGGTATCGCTGCTTTGGCAAACAACGTAGAAATGTTGAAATTGCTGATCAAACATGGCGCTAATATTAATGCTGGAGACATCAATGGTGTGACTCCTCTGATGAAAGCAGCTATTGAAAACGATAACTTAGCAAGTCGCAGGTTTTTGCTGAGTCAACCTGTTATAGAAATAAATTCCCTGACTAATGACAAGAAGAGATCTTGTCTTCATTTTCCAGAGCCTTGGTACATTGAGTATCAAACTTTTAATCCTGAGTCTAGTCTTTATGATCTTCTGGATGCAGGTTGTGATATCAATATTGTGAGCGATGATGGCAAATTACCGATTGATAGCTATGAAGACAAAATATTGTTCTTCGAGGTTATGAAGATGCATATTGTTAAGCTGATGGCGGCTGGCTTTTACGTCTGCGATGGTAATAAAAAAGTTGTTTCAGGAAGTAAATTAAGAAATTTCAGAGTTAAATGTGATATGGAAGTTGAAGTCATGAAGAATACTAACGGAATAATGGCTGGATTTTCCTTGCTTGATATACTGCACAGATCTTATCACAAACTGGCGCTGAGGATCAAGGATGGAGATGAAAATAAGTTTGACGACAAAATGGCGGCCAAGTTTCCTCTGTACGCAGGAATGATTAAGTATCGCTTGGAAAAAGCTGGTCAGCGAAGAAAATTGTTCAATCAAGTGGAAAATATTCTCTATGAAGTTTTTTCTAGATATCTTCCTGCTACTTTTATTCATGAAATGTTTTTTTATTTTAGTAACTCTGAATTGAGTAAATTTGTGGAAATTAAGTGAGCGAAAGATAAGTTTTATGATTAATCATTTAATTTCATTTATCATTTGTTCCTTTTCAGTAATTGTAGAAATTTTTGGTTGAACTTTAAAATTTATATGCTTGTAATCGTTTTGTATTTTTATTAATAAAATCTGATACTTTTTCAATACTACAATAATTAAGTTGGAGAAAAATCATTTTAAAATTTATTTATTATTGTAATATTGAATTTTTATAATCCTTAAATCCATTGTTTAATTTTAAGATCTGTGTGAAAATAATAATAGAGAGAATTTACCTGGCAATAATAATAGTAATAATAAAAAATATGTATACATCTTATAAAAATCTCCCAACTCTCTTCGCCAGTCCTACGCCTAAAATTACTAAAATTGTCTAATTACTCTGCAATTTCCTGATCAAATGATGTGATCTTAACATTTGAATTTAAATTTGTACAAACCGGGACATCTACCGGTGACTTCCGGGAACTACAGACACACAGCTACTCCACCACCAAGTACTACTACTACTACTACTGTAAGTGAAAGTTGTAATAAATCTAAACTGAAACGTAACCTATAATATTTAGATAATTTTAATAACGAGTTAATACTTAATTTTTGTTATAAAAATAATTAAAGCCATGAATAATACCAGAGAAGAAATAAAAAACTTCAAAATCTTTCGTGACTGGAACTACGAACAAGTTCGTAACATTATAATGGCAAAAGAGTTATCTGTCAACACGGTAGTAAAAATTTATAAGAGAGATCGAATTAAAATTTCAAGTTCAAAATTCTTACCACCAACCGGAACCTGCCAATCTTTCTTCGAATATACTATTCTTCACTTGGCTCTTTATGTAGATGACGATGAATTTGTAGACTTTCTCCTGGAGAACAATGCCGACACCAAGCTGGAGACAGAACATTTGGCAGCGGTAATTTTAGCGGCGATAAGTATGAATTGCTTGGATTATGTGAAGAAATTAGTGGCAGCTGGTGCTGATGTCAATCAGATTATTTGGGTATGCACTACGTATGAGAGAGACAGTGAGAAATTTAATGATGAAAGTAGTCATCATCGTTATTATGATGAGTATACACCTCTGGAATTTGCTGTCAATCTGAATACATATGAGATTGCTGAATTTCTCATCAGCCAGGGTGCTGAGGTTCACCGAAAAGATGGCAATGGCGGAGACTATGACGACTCGCCGATACACATCGCTGCTTCGTGTGATAACGTAGAAATGTTGAAGTTGCTGATCAAACATGGCGCTGATGTTAATGCTGGAAACAACCTTGGATTGACTCCTCTGATGAAAGCAGCTGCTGATGACTATAACCCAGAATGTCTTAGGTTGTTGCTAAGTCAATCTTCAATAGAAATAAATTCTTTGACTGATGATAACAGATCTTGTCTTCATTTCCTTGGGGCTCTGGGCATTGTAGATATTGATCCTCATTGTAGTCTTCAAGATCTTCTAGATGCAGGTTGTGATGTCAATATTGTGAGCGATCATGGCGAGTTACCGATTGATACCTATGGAGACAAAGAAACGTACCGTGAGGTTATGAAGAAGCATATTGTTAAGCTGATGGCGGCTGGCTTTTACATATGCGATAAGAATAAAGAAGTTATTTCAGGAAGTGAATTTAGAAAATTTAGAGTTGAATGTGATACAGAAGTTGAAGTCATGAAGAATACTCACGGAATAATGGCTGGATTTTCCTTGTTTGATATACTTCACAGATCTTATCACAAATTGGCGCTGAGGATCAAGGATGGAGATGAAGATAAGTTTGACGACAAAATGGCGGCCAAGTTTCCTCTGTACGCAGGAATGATTAAGTATCGCTTGGAAAAAGCTGGTCAACGAAGAATATTGTTCAATCAAGTTGAAAATATTCTCTATAAAATTTTTTCTAGATATCTTCCTGCTACTTTTATTCATGAAATGTTTTTTTATTTTAGAAACTTTGAATTGAGTAAATTGGTAGAAATTAAGTAAGCGGAAGATAAGTTTTATTATTGGTCATTTAATTTAATTTATCATTGGTTCCTTTTCAGTAAATTTATAAATTTTTATTCGAACTTTCAATTTTTATATATTTGTAATAGTTTTGTATTTTTGCTAATTTAATTTGATACTTTTTCAATAATAAAATAAATGAGTTATGAAAGAATCATTTTTTTATTTGTTATTGTAATATTGAATTTTGATAATCATTAATTTAATTGTTTAATTTTAATGAGAAAAAAAATTTTTTTCTAATTTTTTAAAACTTTCTCATAATTCTAAATAAATGTTATTATTGAATTTGTTTTATTTATTTTCAATCTTCCCGCTACTTTTATTCATGAAATGTTTTTCTATTTTAATACCTTTGAAATAAGTAAATCATATAGTCATTCAAATAAATCTGATACTTTTTTTTATAATAAAAAAAATAATATAGAAAAAAATCATTGTTTAACTTTTTTAATATTAAAATTGTTTCATTTTTATAAAAAAAAAAAAAAACCTTTTCTCAATTTTAAACCTCTCTAATCTAGAAAAATTTTTTCTATTATATTTTTTTTTAATCTAGAAAAATTATTATTATTATTTAACTCCTTAGTTATGGTTGCTGATTTGATGTGTTATATCTTCTGGCCGGTGGTGAGTTGGTTAACACTTGTTCCCGCTAGAGGCGTGACTGAGGAGTCAGTGCCGCTACAGATACTTCTAAAAACTCTATAAATACTCTATAAAAACCTATAATACTCAGTAAATTTTAACAGCCAGCATATCCTCAATTTTTTTGACAAAACCTAATTAAAGTCATGGCAAATTGTAGAGAAATAATAAAAGACTTTATAATCTATCGTAACTTGTCCTACAAAGATGTTCGTGACTCACTAATGTCAAACAAGTTACCTGTCGACATAGAAGTAAAAATTTATGAAAGAGATCGGATTAAAATTCAAAACTTAAAATTCCTACCCCGATACGGACGCCGCAAAGAATATTTCAAATATACTATTCTTCACGTGGCTCCTCATGTAGACGACGAGGAATTGGTAGACTTCCTCCTGAAGAATAATATCCTAACGAAGCTGATGGGGACAGAAGATTTGAAAACGGTAATTTTATCGGTGATGTGTGCAAAAAACTTGAAGTACATAAAGAAATTAGTGACAGCTGGTGCTGATGTCAATCAGATTATTGATGTAAAATATTCACATAATAAGGAACAAGTCGATTGGCTTCATGATATAGGTTATAATTATATGTATCATATCGAATATACACCTCTGGAATGTGCTGTGAATATAAATGCATATGAGATCGCTAAATTTCTCATCAGCCAGGGTGCTAATGTTCACGGAAGAGATGAAAATGATGGGGACCTTCACGACTCACCAATGGCTATCGCTGCTTCGTCAAATAACGTAAAAATGATTGAATTGCTGATCGAAAATGGCGCTGATATCAATATTAGAGATGATAATGGTTTGACTCCTCTGATAAAAGCAGCTCTTGTTAACAGTAATTCAGATAGTCGCAGATTTTTGCTAAGTCAACCTGTTATAGAAATAAATTCTCTGACTAATAACGGGAATTCTTGTCTCCACTTTCCATTTATTTGGAATAGCTCTAATGGTGATCCTGTGTCCAGTCTTGAAGATCTTCTGGATGCAGGTTGTGATATTAATATTGTGAACAGTCGTGGCAAGTTACCAATTGATACCTATAAAGACAAAAGAAGGTGCCGTGAGGTTATGAAGAAACATATTGTTAAGCTGATGGCGGCTGACTTTTACGTCTGCGATAGGAATAAAGCAGAAGCTGTTTCAGAAAGTGAATTAGAAAACTTTAGAGTTGAATGTGATGGAGAAGTTGAAGTTATGAAAAATACTTATGGAATAATGGCTGAATTTTCTTTGTTTAATATACTGCACAAGCCTTATCACCAAATGGCGCTGAAGTACAAAGATGGAGATGAAGATAAGTTTGACGACAAAATGGCGGCCACGTTTCCTCTGTACGCAGGAATGATTAAGTATCGCTTGGAAAAAGCTGGTCAGCGAAGAAAATTGTTCGATCAGGCTGAAATTATACTCAATCAAATTCTTTCTAGATATCTTCCTGCTACTTTTATTTATGAAATGTTTTTTTATTTTAGTAACTTTGAATTGAGTAAATTGGTGGAAAAGAAGTAAGCGGAAGATAATTTTTATTATGAATCATTTCATTTCATTTATCATTGGTTTCTTTTCATTAAATTTGTAAATTTTTCGGTCACAACTTTTAATATTTATATGCTTGTAATAATTTTGTATTTTTATTAATCAGATCTGATACTTTTTTTTACAATAAAAAAATAAGATAGAGAAGTATCATTGTTTGATTTATTTTTCATTGAAATTTTGAATATTTATAATCCTCAATTTAATCGTGTCATTTTTATAAAAATAAAATCTTAATTTTAAAACCTATCAATCCAAAAAAAACTTCTTCAAATATTTATAAAAGAAATTTATAAATTATTTAATGACAATAATAATAATAATCATCAATAAAAATTTTAAATCAGCCAACATCTGAAAATGTCCTTAATTTTTTTCTATTGAAAAAATTATTTAAATAAAATTAAAAAAAAATTTGACATGTAGAAAATATAAATAGTTCCAATTGCAATTTTTTAAAAATACTTTTCAACTCATAATTTTCAATAATTCAAAAAATCAAAAATTGTCAAATGTCTCAGTGTAGTGTGATTGATCCGATTACTTAAAAAATTTAGCATAAAACTTCAAGAGATATATTTACTTTCAAAAAATTTTAAAAAGACAAAAATAGTTTCTTCAATAATTACAAACAAGAATTATCACTTGAGTGTGATAATAAAAAATAATTACTAAATTTTACAAATGAAATTTGTTTTTATTTTTTTTTGCAATAATTTTTTTTATTCAAGTTGAAAATGTTCTCTATAAAATTTATTCTAGATATCTTCCTGCTACTTTTATTCATGAAATGTTTTTCTATTTTAGTAATTTTGAATTGAGTAAATTGGTGGAAATTGAGTGAGTGGAAGATAAGTTTTTTATTGCTCATTCAATTTAATTTATTATTGATTTATTTTTAATAGTTTATAAATTTTTAGTTGAACTTCTGATTTTTGTATGCTTGTAATAATTTTGTATTTTTATTCATTGAATTTTGATACTTTTCTGATAATAAAATAAAGAAGTTACAGAAGAATTATTTTTTATTTATTATTGTGTAATATTGAATTTTTATAATTGTTTAATTTCAAAGTATGTGAAAATAATAAAGCAGAGAATTTACCTGACAATAATAATAATAATAATAATAATGATAAATATATATATTCTATAGAAAATTAAGATTTTATGAAAATGTGTATGTTTTTTTTTTTAGGTATTAGGAATACAAAATTTAAGAAATACTTGTTTTTGTTTTTATATTAAGTTTCATGAATAAAAAAATTTTTCTCAATTTTAGAACTTTTTTGTAATTCTAAATAAATGTTTCTATCAACTTTATTTTTAACAAATTAATCACTCACATTTGCGGAAACTAGAAAAATTTCTTTGAATGCATCAATAGTATATATTGAATAAAAGACAAATTTTTGTAGTAAATTTAAAGTATCTTGAAAAAATTCTTAAATATTTCATAAATAAAATAACCATAGCAATAATAACTTTTATGAGACTATAATAAAGTAATAATTATAAGAAAACTTTTGGGAAAAACCCTACAATCTAGGTCTAGACTTTTAGCTATTTGTAAAAAAGGTTATTTTTAAAACGTATTTCACTCTCTGGAAATTTATAACAATAGATTAGGAATAATAAGATAGAAAAGAGGATTAAGCCATAAATATATAAATTTACTACTTAATTGTTCCCGACTTAAAAAGTAATTAAAGAAACATTAGAAAATGGGCGTGTTTGTCCGAAGTAAGTACTTACTAAATTTAGTAAGTCACTTACTAATACTTACTAAATATTCGGCCGGGACACAAAATAAGTGCTAACGCAGTAAGCATGGCTTAATATAAGACGATTTTTCGTTTATTATTGATGTAAACAAAACAGACCGAAGCATATAGAATTGAATTTATATTGGTTATTCTATGCAATAAGATATTTAATTACTTTGTTTGATAATAAGCTTTAAGAGGTACTTGAAAAGATCTTTTTCATAAGATTATATGAGATGTTACAAATATAGGAAACTTAGATGGTAGGGAGAGCCGCCCCCTCTACTTCTACTACTATGAGTCGGACTTAGACACTTTTGAGAAATATCAGAATAATATTCGAGCTCAGACGTATCACGTCGTTCCTAATTTTTGTGTAAAGTCTTTTGAATACATACTTCAATTTAGTTATTTTAATTCCGTTCAATTATTTACTTAATTTATATTCCCATATTATCATCTTCCTCACCTTATAAATTCCCGTTAATAAAGTTGAGTATTTCAATATTCCCGTGCGAATTAAAGACCACATCAGTGACTTTAAATTAAAATAAAGATTTTTTTCGTTGACCACCAGGAGGAGGGCATAACAAAAATAATTAACACAAATAAGTCATGAATAATACCAGAGAAGAAATAAAAACCTTCAAAATCTTTCGTCAGTCGAACTACGAACAAGTTCGTGAAAAAATAATGTCAAAGGAGTTTTCTGTCAACACAGTGGTAAAAATTTATGAGAAGGATCGAACTAAAATTTCAAGATCAAGATTCTTACCGCTAACCAGAGACGGAGGATTTTTTTTCGAATATAGTATTCTTCATTTGGCTGTTTATCTAGACGACGATAATTTCGTAGACTTCCTCCTGGAGAACAATGCCGACACGAAGCTAGTGACAATAGATTCGGCACCGGTGATTTTATCGGCGATAGGTTTGAACCGCTTGAAGTACGTGAAGAAATTAGTGACAGCTGGAGCTATTGTCAATCAGGTTATCAGTGTAATAGACACATATGAGGGAGGAAGTGATTGCTATAGTTATGGAGGTTATCATTGCTTTAATTATACTGAGTATACACCTCTGGAATTCGCTGTCAGTCAGGATTCATATGAAGTTGCTGAATTTCTCATCAGCCAGGGCGCTGATGTTCACGGAAGAATTGGCAATGATGGAGAATCTGCCGACTCACCGATGGGTATTGCTGTTTCGTCAAATAACCTACAAATGATTAAATTGCTGATCAAACACGGGGCTGATATTATTATTAGAGACGAGAATGGTTTGACTCCTCTGATGAAAGCAGCTCTTGTTAACAGTAATTCAGCAAGTCGCAGGTTTTTGTTAAGTCATCCTTTTATAGAAATAAACTCTCTGACTGATGACAAGAGTTTTTGTCTTCACTTTCCAGATATTTGGGATGACACTGGTGATCCTGCGTCTAGTCTTGAAGATCTTCTGGATGCAGGTTGTGATATTAATATTGTGAACAGTCGTGGCGAGTTACCAATTGATACCTATAAAGACAAAAGAAGGTGCCGTGAGGTTATGAAGAAACATATTGTTAAGCTGATGGCGGCTGACTTTTACGTCTGCGATAGGAATAAAGCAGAAGCTGTTTCAGAAAGTGAATTAGAAAACTTTAGAGTTGAATGTGATGGAGAAGTTGAAGTTATGAAAAATACTTATGGAATAATGGCTAAATTTTCTTTGTTTGATATACTGCACATATCTTATCACAAACTGGCGCTGAGGATCAAGGATGGAGATGAAGATAAGTTTGACGACAAAATGGCGGCCAAATTTCCTCTGTACGCAGGAATGATTAAGTATCGCTTGGAGAAAGCTGGGCAACGAAGAAAATTGTTCAATCAAGTTGCAAATATTCTCTATAAAATTCTTTCTAGATATCTTCCTGCTACTTTTATTTATGAAATGTTTTTTTATTTTAGTAACTTTGAATTGAGTAAATTGGTGGAAAAGAAGTAAGCGGAAGATAATTTTTATTATGAATCATTTCATTTCATTTATCATTGGTTTCTTTTCATTAAATTTGTAAATTTTTCGGTCACAACTTTTAATATTTATATGCTTGTAATAATTTTGTATTTTTATTAATCAGATCTGATACTTTTTTTTACAATAAAAAAATAAGATAGAGAAGTATCATTGTTTGATTTATTTTTCATTGAAATTTTGAATATTTATAATCCTCAATTTAATCGTGTCATTTTTATAAAAATAAAATCTTAATTTTAAAACCTATCAATCCAAAAAAAACTTCTTCAAATACTTATAAAAGAAATTTATAAATTATTTAATGACAATAATAATAATAATCATCAATAAAAATTTTAAATCAGCCAACATCTGAAAATGTCCTTAATTTTTTTCTATTGAAAAAATTATTTAAATAAAATTAAAAAAAAATTTGACATGTAGAAAATATAAATAGTTCCAATTGCAATTTTTTAAAAATACTTTTCAACTCATAATTTTCAATAATTCAAAAAATCAAAAATTGTCAAATGTCTCAGTGTAGTGTGATTGATCCGATTACTTAAAAAATTTAGCATAAAACTTCAAGAGATATATTTACTTTCAAAAAATTTTAAAAAGACAAAAATAGTTTCTTCAATAATTACAAACAAGAATTATCACTTGAGTGTGATAATAAAAAATAATTACTAAATTTTACAAATGAAATTTGTTTTTATTTTTTTTTGCAATAATTTTTTTTATAAAAAAATTGATAAAAATTTACGACACTGATGTTAGCAGACGTCTAAAAATTTTTGATATTTTTTAATAATTAAATTACAACTAAAAAGATATTTTTAAAAAAATGCACTTATAGTTTTTAAAGTTTTTTACATGTGACAATTTTTTTTTCAATTTTTTAATTGAAATTTTTTCAATGAAAAAATTTATAAAAATTTTGAAATGTCAGCTCACTTTATTTTCATTAATTAAAAATTTTTAAACGTCAATTAAATTAATTTAAATTAATAAGCGTCACTTGCTATGCAAGAGTTGATTATTTAAACTACAAAAAAAAACATCAACACCCACTAGATGTCGCACAATGTAAGTGTTAGTTGTAAAAAAAAAACTAAACTGAATAAACGTAACCTACAATATTTAGTAAATTTTAACAACCACCTGCTAATAAATTTTTGTAATAAAAAATAATTAAAGTCATGGACAATCTCAGAGAACAACTAAAAGAATTTAAAATTTTCCGTAAAATGAGCTACGAAGACGTTCGTGACTCAATAATGTCAAACGAGTTATGTGTCAATACGGTGGTAAAAATTTATAACAGTGATCGAATGAAAATTCCTATTAGTTCAGAATTCTTACCGCCAACCAAACCCAATGAATATTTTTTCGAATATACTATTCTTCACCTGGCTCTTTATGTAGATGACGAAGAATTCGTAGACTTCCTTCTGAAGAACAATGCCGACACCAAGCTGGAGACGGAACATTTGGCACTGGTTATTTTATCGGCGATTCGTTTAAACCGGTTGAAGTACGTGAAGAAATTAGTAGCAGCTGGTGCTAATATCAATCAGTCTATCCGGGTAAAAGACACATATGAGAAACATAGTAATAGGCTCAATACTGATGAAGGTAATAATGATACTCATGGTTATTATAATTGGTATACACCTCTGGAATTTGCTGTCAATCTAAATGCATACGAGATCGCTGAATTTCTCATCAGCCAGGGTGCTAATGTTCACGGAGAAGATTACAGTGGAGAGTTTGACGACGCGCCTATGAGTATTGCTGCTGCGTCAAATAACGTAGAAATGATTAAATTGCTAATGAAACATGGCGCTGATATAAATGTTAGAGACATAAATGGTTTGACGCCTCTGATGAAAGCAGCTCTTAAGGACGATAACTCAGCAAGTCTTAGGTTTTTGCTGAGTCAACCTTTTATAAAAATAAATTCGCTGACTCGTGACAAGTGCTCATGTCTCCATTTTCCAGAGCCTTGGTACATGATGAATGTCCCTGTTGATCCTGAGTTTAATCTTCAAGATCTTCTGGATGCAGGTTGTAATGTCAATATTTTAAACAGTCACTGTGAGTTACCGATTGATACCTATGAGGAGAAAGAAAATTGCCTTGAGGTTATGAAGAAGCATATTGTTAAGCTGATGGCGGCTGGCTTTTACGTCTGCGATAGAAATAAAGAAGCTGTTTTAGAAAATGAATTAAGAAACTTCAGAGTTGAATGTGATACAGAAGTTGAAGTCATGAAGAATACTTATGGAATAATGGCTGAATTTTCCTTGTTTGATATACTGCACATATCTTATCACAAACTGGCGCTGAGGATCAAGAATGGAGATGAAGATAAGTTCGACGACAAAATGGCGGCCAAGTTTCCTCTGTACGCAGGAATGATTAAGTATCGCTTGGAAAAAGCTGGTCAGCGAAGAAAATTGTTCAAGCAAGTGGAAAATATTCTCTATGAAGTTTTTTCTGGATATCTTCCTGATACTTTCATTCATGAAATGTTTTTTTATTTTAGTAACTTTGAATTAAGTAAATTAGAAGGAAATTAAGTAAGCACAAGATAAGTTTTATTATTGGTCATTTAATTTTATTTACCATTGGTTTTTTCTTCAGTTAATTTATTAATTTTTAGTTGACCTTTCAATATTTGTATGCTTGTAATAGATTTGTATATTTATTAATTAAATGTGATACTTTTTTTAATAATAAAAAATAAGTTAGAGATCAATTATTTTTATTATTATTTATTACATACTGTAACATTAAATTTTTATAATCCTTAATTTAATTGTTTAATCAAATAATATGCGTGAAAATAATAAAGCAAAGAATTTATACTATAGTATACTACAATATTAATGAAAAATTTTTAAATATTTGCTAATTTAGGTTATTTTTCATTTCTGATCATTTTTTCCCGGGCGATTACATAAAAAAATTAAAAAAATACATTTAGAGATATATTAACTTCCGAAAATTATAAAAAAAAAAATAATTTCTCCAAAAGTTACAAACCAGAATGATCCCTTGAGTGTCATAAAAATATAACGCTAAATTTTACAAATGAAATTTGTTTTTATTCTTTTTTACAATAATTTTTTTAATAAAAAAATTTATAAAAATTTTTCGACGTCGGCTAACTTAATTTTCATTACAAAAAATAAATTTTGATTATAATCTGTTACAGACAATTTTTGTACTAATTATAGACAATAAGCGTAACCTGATAATATACAAGTTAATTATTGAAACTACAAAAAAAAAAAACGTCAACGCACTCACTAAATGTCACACAATGTAGGTGACAGTTGTATAAAATCTAAACTGAAACGTACAGCCTATAATATTTAGTTAATTTCAACAACCAGCTGATGATCAGTTTTTGTTATAAAAATAATTAAAGTCATGAATAATACCAGAGAAGAAATTAAAGACTTCAAAATTTTCCGTGAATTGAACTACAAAGAAGTTCGTAACTTAATAATGTCAAAGAAGTTATATGTCAATACGGTAGTAAAAATTTATAATAGAGATCGAATTAAAATTCCGAGTTCAGAATTTTTACCGTTAAACGATCGCAAAGAATATTTTTTCGAATATACTATTCTTCACTTGGCTCTTTATGTAGATGACGATGAATTTGTAGACTTCCTCCTGGAGAACAATGCAGACACAAAGCTGATGGAGACAGAACATTTGGCACCGGTAATTTTATCGGCGATAAGTCTAAACAGCTTGAAGTACGTAAAGAAATTAGTGAAAGCTGGTGCTGATGTCAATCAGATTATCTGTGTACTTGACACATATGAGAGAAAAAGGGATAGGCTTAATAATGAGGGTAATCCTCAAATTTATTATAATTATTATACACCGTTGGAATTTGCTGTCCAGCTGGATACATATAAGATCGCTGAATTTCTCATCAGCCAGGGTGCTAATGTACACGGAAGAATTGGCAATGACGGAGACGATACCGACTCGCCAATGGGTATCGCTGCTTTTTCGGATAACGTAAAAATGTTGAAATTGTTGATTAAACATGGCGCTGATATTAATGCTGGAGACGACAATGGTTTGACTCCTCTGATGAAAGCAGCTGCTGAAGACGATAATTCAGAAAGTCGCAGTCAACCTCTTATAGAAATAAATTCTCTGAATAATGACAAGAAATCTTGTCTTCATTTTCCCGGAGTTTTGCGCATGGGAGATGAAATTGAACCTGAGTCTAGTCTTCAAGATCTCCTGAATGCAGGATGTGATAATGTCAATATTGTGACCAATTACCAATTGATACCTATGGAAACAAAGAAATGTGCTTTGAGATTATGAAGAAGCATATTGTTAATAAGCTGATATATAATATGATGAATAAAAAATTTGTTTCTGGAAGTGAATTAAGAAAATTCAGAGTTGAATGTGATAAAAAAGTTGAACTTATGAAGAATACTTGTGGAATAATGGCTGGATTTTCCTTGTTTGATATACTGCACAGATCTTATCACAAACTGGCGCTGAGGATCAAGGATGGAGATAAAGATAAGTTTGATGATAAAATGGCGGCCAAGTTTCCTCTGTACGCAGGAATGATTAAATATCGCTTGGAAAAAGCTGGTCAACGAAGAAAATTGTTCAATCAAGTTGAAAATGTTCTCTATAAAATTTATTTTAAATATCTTTCTGCTACTTTTATTCATGAAATGTTTTTTTATTTTAGTAACTTTGAATTAAGTAAATTGGTGGAAATTAAGTAAGCGGAAGATAAGTTTTATTATTAATTATTTAATTTCATTTATCATTGGTTTCTTCTCACATTAGTAATTTCATAAATTTTTGGTTGAACTTCTAATATTTATATGCTTGTAATTGTTTTGTATTTTTATTAATAAAATCTGATACTTATTTAATAAAAAAAAAAAAAAAGTGATCTAGAGAATAATTATTTTTTAAATTATTTAGATACAGCAGAGAATTTACTTGACAATCATAATAATAATAAAAATATATATGTCCTTTTCTAAAAATTTGATCCTCTCCTAATTCCTAATATAAAATTGTCATGAAAATTATGGTATAGTATATGATGAGACCAATTTATTCGTGATGTGATAGGTAATTGAGAATAAACACGTGTTTGTGATTAGATTGGTTAAGAGTCAATATAATATACTTAATACTACGTTTCTTTGAAATTTATTATTTTAATAATTAAAAAAGTAAAAAAAATTATAAAATATTTAATTGCTTTAAATTACGATTATCATTCATTTATATTGGCATTGAAGTGAAAAAAGTTGATGGAATTTTTTTTAATCGATGAAGAAATTAATGCTTACCACGTCAGCGATGCCACAGTGTAAGTCGTTTATTTTGTCTTAATTTTATCGTTTTATATTAGAAGAATCAAAGCGAGCATGTTACGTCTAGTTTTATAAAAACTTGAAATTTTATTAAAATATGTATGAGTGTTTTTTTTCAGGTAATAGAATCCTACGCCTTAAATTGCCTACATAGTCTGCAACTTCCTGACCAAATATGATTTCAAACTTTAAATTTAAATTTATACAAACCGGGACGTCTACCGGTGACGCCCGAAAACTACATGACACTGAAGTTAGCAGACGTCTAAAAATTTTTTGATTTTTTTTTTTTTTAAATAAATTACAACTAAAAAGATATTTTTAAAAAAATGCACTTATAGTTTTTCAAGTTTTTAACAAGTGATATTTTTTTTTTTATTGTTTAGTTGAAATTTTTTGGATAAAAAAATTTCTAAAAATTTTGAAATGTCAGCTAACTTTATTTTCATGGAAACTACAGACCCACGGGGCTGCGCTCCACCATTTAGTTCTGCGGCCGAATGGGAAAGTGCCCAGAGCCTAAGGAATACTACTTACTACTACTACTACTACTACCACCACTACATATATGTGACAGTTGTAAAAAATTGAAACTGTAACAGAACCTATAATATCGAATTAATTTTAACAACCAAACCCAGCTGATAATCAATTTTTGTTTTAAAAAATAACTATAGTCATGGGCGATCCTAGAGAAAGAATAAAATACGCTATAATTTTTCGTGACATGTGCTACGAAGAAGTTCGTGAGTCAATAATGTCAAAAGAGTTGTCTGTCAACACGGTGGTGAGAATTTATGAGAGTGATCGAACTAAAATTCCCAGTCCGGAATTCTTACCGCGAGCCAGATCCGAAGAATATTTATTTGAATATACTATTCTTCACTTGGCTCTTTATGTAGATGACGATGAATTCGTAGACTTTCTCCTGGAGAACAATGCTGACACGACTCTGGAGACAGAACATTTAGGACCGGCAATTTTATCGGCGATAAAATTGAACCGCTTGAAGTACGTGAAGAAATTAGTGACAGCTGGTGGTGATGTCAATCGGATTATCTACGTAAGAGGCATACATGAGAGAGAAAGTAGGAGACTTAATGATGAATATAATATTCATATTTATTATAATGAGTATACACCTCTGGAATTTGCAGTCAATCTGAATGCATATGAGATTGCTGAATTTCTCATCAGCCAGGGTGCTGATGTTCACGGAAGATATGGCAATAACGGAAGGTATAGCGACTCGCCAATGGGTATCGCTGCTTCGTCAAATAACGTAGGAATGATAAAATTGCTGATCAAGCATGGCGCTGATATTAATACTGGAGACTACCATGGTTTGACTCCTCTGATGAAAACATCTTTTGATAACGATAACTCAGCAAGTCGCAGGTTTTTGCTGAGTCATCCTTTTATAGAAATAAATTCTCTGACTAATCACAAGAAATCTTGTCTTCATTTTCCGGGAATTCGGAGGATATTTTACAACGCTGATCCTAAATTTAGTCTTCAAGATCTTCTGAATGCAGGTTGTGATGTTAATATTGTTAGCAAATCTGGCAAATTACCGATTGATAGCTATGGAGACAAAAAAAAGTGCTTTGAGGTTATGAAGAAGCATATTGTTAAGCTGATGGCGGCTGGCTTTTACGTCTGCGATAAGAATAGAGAAGTTGTTTCAGGAAGTGAATTAACAGAATTTAAAGTTAAATGTGATATGGAAGTTGAAGTCATGAAGAATACTTATGGAATAATGGCTGGATTTTCCTTGTTTGATATACTGCACAGATCTTATCACAAACTGGCGCTGAGGATCAAGGATGGAGATGAAGATAAGTTTAACGACAAAATGGCGGCCAAGTTTCTTCTGTTCGCAGGAATGATTAAGTATCGCTTGGAAAAAGCTGGTCAGCGAAGAAAATTGTTCAATCAAGTTGAAAATACTCTTTATAAAATTTTTTCTAGATATCTTCCTGCTACTTTTATTCATGAAATGTTTTTTTATTTTAGTAACTTTGAATTAAGTAAATTAGTGGAAATTACGTAAACCAAAGATAAGTTTTACTATTGCTTATTTAATTTAATTTATTCGTTATTCATGATTTTTATTGGTTTCTTTATCGGTTTATTTATCATTGGTTTCTTTTTACCATATTTAGAATTTTTTGGTTGAACTTTCAATATTGATTTGCCTGTAATAGTTTTGTATTTTTATTAATTAAATCTAATCCTTTTTTAATAATAAAATAAATGAATTGGAGAAAAATCATTCTTTAATCTTTTTATTAATCCTTCATTCCATTATTTAATTTTAAAATCTGTTGTTACGTTCCCGTTAAATTTATAATATTTAATTAAATTTTTAATTCAAAAATTTTAACTGCTTCGTTGATGATGAATAAAATTCATCATCAGCGAAGTAACGGAAATCGCTTGTGATAAGAGAGTCGCCGGGCTCTAGCCTAAACATCGTGAGAGCTCGACTCCGACGACTTCTCTAGGGTAACCTGAGATGCAACGTTGTCAATTTTATTAATTTTTATAATTCTTTGTACTCTGGATGCAAATCCAGAGCAGTCAGCCGATGAACATCTTCGGCCCCGGACTTATGTCCGGAGATGAACTGACTCCACCCAAATTATTAAGTTTTACAATATATTTTAACTAACGAAATTTTGTTGATTTATTTTCAATAAAACCATTCCTAAGGTTCTTATAATTTTGAGAGAGGGTCTAGTGACAAGGCCCACTGTGAGTCTGTCGACTACCTAACGCGGCTAAGCCTGAATGATAATTAAATTTAAATATCTCAAATTTTGAGAACGTAACACTGTGTAAAAATAATAAAGCAGAGAATTTACATAAAAATAATAATAATAATAATAATAAAAAACATATACATCTTATGAAAATTTGAGATTTTATGAAATCAGCTAGTCTTTAAAATGAATCAGTAAGCTTCAGCAACCACGGCAGAAGCACTAGGCATCCTCAAGGAAATTGAGTTGGCACTTGAGATGCAAATAGGAACAGTGATTTTGAGTGAAATCACTGACGAACAAGACCTCAACCACATTTTTTTCGAATGTCCAACCTACCAAGCCCAGCGATGACCACTATACAACATATTAGCCAAGATTTATGATCTCAATAAGTGTAACATCATGATCAGCTTATATCTTTAAAAATATGATAAGTTGACAAAATACAATATAATTTCTTAATTATTGACATTTTTAAAGATATAAGCCCACCCCCACATTATCCTCATCAAGACCTTTCATTTGAGTACCTACATCAATTTTTCATATATTTTATATATTTATATATATTATAAATATGTATATATGAAAAATATATCAAATATGCATGTGAGTACTCAAATGAAAGCTCTTGATGAGTGTAACATCAGGATGAGCTTACATATTTAAAAATATCAATAATTAAGAAAGTACAGTGCAATTTAACCAAAGTCATTATTTAATAAAGCAAAATTTCATTTATTTATTATTTACAAGTCACGGCAGTCACATAGTGACTGCAAGGTTGCTAGTTTATAATTATTTTTGTTATAATCCCGAAATTCAATAATAATAACAATAATTTAATTTAAAAAAATTCCTTGTTTTATTTTTAAGGATCTCAAATAAAAACTTTAAGAAAAATTATTATTATTTCCAAACAAATATTTAAACCTAAAAAAAAAACAGAAATTTTTGTATAAATATTTCAAGTCTCCACTAAAAAAAAAAAATTCTCAAAGAAAATAAAAATTACTAACTACATTTTCACTGAAAATTCTCAATAAAAACTTCTTAACTCCCATTTTTTCTCTCAAATCAACAAACTTTAGCTTTAAGCGCTCCAAAGCTAACTCACGCTTTGAAGGTCCGGAGTTCGAATCCCGGACGGAGTATTTTAATAATTATACCTAAAAAACCTAAATTATCGCGCTCTTTAAAAATCGAGAATGTTCCACAGCGACATTATTGAATCACCCACGGTCTTGAACTTTTTACCGGTGATGTATATGTCTATTTATAATAAAAATAATAACGAGCTTGTAATAATAAAATGTATGAAAAAAGTAAAAGTTTTGAGGCCAGATTGTGGATTGTTGAATTTATAATAATAAAAGAGCCAAAGTGTAGCGGTAGAATTATTATCTCTCTCTAACATTTATTTCTTGATCGACCACACGCTCACGTGATCTACTGTCATTTGCTCCCTTATATTTCGCCTAAAGACTATAGTCGTCCTTGGTGATTTATACTTTTTATATGTAATATTTATTGATACTTATTGTCCGACTGTCTCACTTGCTTTTTAATCTATTAACCCTCCGTACATTATATTACGATATACTCTCTATATATCTGCAGTATCGCTTTCTTCCTCGCTTTTTTATTGATATTAATGCTTATATTACTTGCTATTGCTGGAATTTAATTATATACTATTTAAAGTTAATAATAACTATTTTACTACCGTCTTTCATCAGCAGCCGCTTTAAGTATTGATAAACTTTCGGTTTCTTTTGCTCATTATTCAGTCATTAATTTTTTTTACCTATTAGAAATCAATACTCAAGTCTTGAAGAGTTAGAAATTTTTATTTATTATTCATTTTATTGCTAATTATGACCCAAAAATTAAAGAAGAAATAATAAAGCTTTATTAACTGTTAATAAATTATTTTTTAACATCAGGATTAAATAAATATTTATTAATGAGTAATAAATTATTTATTAAATTAAATAATTGGCTTTAAATAAATAAAATTATTAATAGTTAATAAATTCTTCTATCAGTATACAGTTCATCATTTTTGAATTTTATAAAAAAAATTATTTAGTTGTAGAAAATTGTTTTTAAAAAAATGCATTTACAGTTTCTATACGTTAAATTTTTTTCTTTCATAATTTATTTGTTAAAAAAATCCTGATAATTATCAAATGTTAATTTCATGGTCATGATAAAAAGATAGATGATAAAGAGAAAAAATTTTGAACCAAAAAAGTAATTCTTAAGAATTTGTCTTGAATCAACCAGAAAAATTCTTTAACAAAAAATAGTTAAGTTAATTTTACTCGATTAAATAATTTTTATTTTTTATTCATGATCAAACTCTTAAAAATTAGTTTTCTTGGTTCAACATTTTTTCTTTTTAATCAACTTTATTTTTTAATCAGTCTAACTATGTATCTATTTAATTAAATCTTTCGACGTTATTTTTACCGACTTTAAGACGTCTGATTAATTTTTAAATTTGCAAACGCATCAAGGACCGATTACAATACAATACTTTGATAACTTTATTCTAGAGTCCTCACCAGGATCATCAGGATAAAAAAGTGACTTATTTAACAGGTTAAACATACACCTTTCATAAAATTACAGTAAATATTTATCTTCTTTTAATTAAGTTAAATATTACAATCTAACGCTTTTGGTTTTTAATTATACTAAAAAAACTTGGACATAAATTACAGTTTAAAAAAGTTAAAAATACGGTTTAATAGCAAACCAAACTAAAAAGTAGAAAATAATTTTGAGTAAGTTTTAAATAAGAATAGAGTGATTAACAAAAAATTAATTTTATTGTAAAAAATCGTGGGTGCTTTTTAAGATATTTTTTTAATAACTACTTTTAAAAATTTCTACCAATAAAATATTTACATAAATTTAATCAAACGCGCTTTTTTTACAATAAAAGAAATTTTCTCAATCACTCCCTTATTTTTTAATTCAAACTTATTTAATTTTGTCAAAAATTTCTCAAAAATTTTTCTCTAGAATCAATTATTACCAAAAAAATCCAATTGAAACTAAGCAAAATAATAAAAAAATACATCATCTTCTTTTAAATAAATAAATCTTTCCCGCCTTTTAAATTCATAATTTTATTTTTGAAAAATCTTCCATACCTACTAAAGATTACTTATCAACCAAAGAAAAGAAAACTCTTGTTTCAAGATCACCAAAATTAAGAGAAGAAATTTTTATATTCTTCCCACATGCGTCATTAATTATAATTCCAAATTTATCCTAAAAATAATTCAATAATTTTTATAACAAAAAAAAAAATATCAATATTAAGAATAAAAACCAGCAACTCATCTTTTCTGATTACAGTGACAAGTTAGCGGGTGAAATTGGGTTGACAACCACCAGGAAAATCCTTAAATAAATCGGCCGTGGCGTCGTGCAAGTGCGACAACTTGTGGAGGGCGCCGGTGACCATAAGTGACCCCACATGGACGCCGAGCCCCACGTGCCCATATCAAAGAAAACAGATGCCACTTTCCACAGCGGAGTATCCGACTTGATGTCAGCGCTGCCTGCAGGAGCAACTTCAATACTAAAAATAAAGTTCGCGTTAATCTGCAAAAAAGGTCTTTTTGTAAAGTTAAGATTACTATTTAAAAAAAAACCAACCAAGTGCCTAAATATTTTTTACCGAGGACCAGAGTCCGACGACACCGCTGGCGGTGGTGGACTCGGGTTTATTAATATTGATGCATCATTATTATTCAAATACTTCCAAAAACAACAGACTATTTTGCATTTGTGTACATTACTATTATTACTACTATATATTTATAATCCGTCCGGTTATTCCGAAGCACAGAAGAAAACAACGTAAGCTCGAATCATGTCTCGAAATACAGCTGCTGGTTCCGCCAACCAAGGTCAGTTATATATTTTTTTTATCTATTATTTAATAAACATTATCTCTAATACTCGATAATTTTTTCAAGGATCAATTTTAATTTAATTAGAATTATTAATCATTTCCTCTTTGTTTAATTCTGCTTTTTTTGCAGCCAATTGTCTTCTTAGTAGGTTTTTACAAAAGAAGAATATAATTTTAGATATGAAAATAATTTTATTAGCAATTTTTTTTAAGATTAGTGAAAAACGACGAAAATGAAGAAATTAGAGGCTGCTTTGTAATCTGAATTTTGTGAAGCAATCATTAGATAATCGTTTATTGATAATATACCATGTTATTGTTCAAACAATGAAGAATCAAGTGGTGGAAATA